TACGCCTTTACACTTGAATCAATCTTTAAACTCTTATATCTCGAGAAGGGTACATTTTTATGATCTAAAAATTGCTGGGAGCCTTCCTTATTACTTGTTGAAGCATTTAAAGCATTTTAATTAAAAAAAAAAACAAAAAAATTTTTTTTTATTTTCGTTGCACGCAACGTTGCAAACTTCAGAGTCATTTTTAAGGCATCATGTATTACATTTTTCGCTAGGATGTCCTAGAATGTGTTACGCATGAGTTGACAAAAAATAATGAATTTTTTGACACATTAGCTACAAGCATTGCCAGCATCAATCATCTACGATATTACAATAAATATTTTGAGTTTATTTGCTTATCGTACTAGAGCATGTTATATTACTTAAATAAAAATCTATGTTTACCGTGTAAAATAGTATATTTTGTACTAGTATACATTCTGAAAGCTCGAAGAGCGCGCTAGTTGAGAACATTTTTCTTTACTTAAGGGGACGCAAAGTGCCGTTTAGGACCAATGGACACACTGCGACGTATGATGTGATTGTTTGTGTCATTAATTGAAAATTAATCATTTATCAAGTTTACACTGCTGTTTGGTCTTGTAAATGACGATGCTAAATGTTTGGAAAAATTTAACGTTGTAGAAATAACTTAACGAGAAGAAGAGTTTGTTATACAATCCAATTCGTAAGTGACGACACAAGAAAAAAGAAACAACTACTTCGTTAAAACTAAAATTCAATGTAAATGTAAAAATATACAGCATTAATTAACTACATTTGTACGAAATATACATAACCACACATTTAGACAGTAAAAGTTTGTTGGAAAAGTTGGAAATAGTTCTGATTTCTATCGATAATAAAATAAATGAAAAAGTACATCTCAATGCCAGTGTAAGTAGATACTGTAGTTATAAAATAAAGATATATTTCTAAGAATTCTGACTCGGTACAACTACTAACGTTTGCACTCCCTTCGGGTCTCCATCTCTTCGACTTAATGTTGTACTCATATAATTGTTATAGGTAGGAGTATATATAAGGAGTATATGTACATATAAGAAGTGCGTACATAATAACGTATATATCATCTACTCAGTCGTACTCACAAACGAATGCGAGTGCACTGTGTAGTTGTGTGAAAAATGCAGTTGCACTCTTATCATTTACTTCTGTGAGGTCATTCCTCCCTTTATTCATTATACCTCTCTATTTACCGTTGTTCACGAGTAACGTTATATCGCGTACACGTCATTCGGTACTCAAGTTTCAATTGCAAAACTATTTTTAATTTAAAAATTTTATGATTATTACCCTAAATTTTCAAATTCATGTAAGTATGAACGAACTAAACTGATTTTTCATAACTGAACTATAAAACACTAAAATTTTGTATATTTATTTTATTTTTATATTTATATTATATACTTTTTTTGTGAGCCTGTTGAATTTTCAAAAAACCTACAAGTTTGAGACGACTTAAAAATTTGTTTTGTCGTTGCAAAATATATTTTGTTAAATTTTATTAATAATTTCTTTTAGTGAAAAGCTGTTGAATGTATAAAACTATGCCAAAGGTCTCATTTCACTCGTTTTCAAACGTTTAAGTTGGTTTATTAAATATTGAATAACAAAGTCGAACGATATTTTTCTTACTGAGTACACATAAGTTCTGTTTTGCGTACTAGGCCGTAAAGTACTTTAGGCTCGATAGATCGAAATAGTAGATTTGGTACTAGTGGTGCTTATCGCTAGGGCAAGCACTGGTACCAAAGGACACCTTATGCTTGCCCCTGGTTGGATGCGCATCAAAAGTAAATGTTACTTTGTCAAAAAAAATTTTCTAATGTACATTATTTAACTATCTAATAGTTTTAATAAGACTAAAAATCAAGTAAACACTTCAATGGCTGTTGGGCAATATTGTAACACTTAGGAGGCGAATGGCTTGACATTCTTCAAGGCATATAGTTATTAACAATATTACGTTTTCTAAGAAAATATTAAAAATTATCGCCTTATTTGTAATGAAAAAATTTTAAGCCTTGGTAGTATGAAAAAAAAAATTTAACAATTAATACGCATTAACAGTTAAAGCATAATGAATTCGATAAAATTTAAACATAATACGGTTAAATACTATGGGACAATATGTTATATATTCAATAGAAATCTGACATTTCGTTGCCATCAGCTTTTGTCTTTTAATTTTAAGTTGTTGATGTTTATAAACACAGAGGTGCGTGAATATCGGAGAAACGAGTATCTAAAAATCGATAAAGCATATAAGGTACTCACTTTCTCTGTCTTTAAATTCTAGCAAAAATCGATACCCTGTTAGGTATAATAAAAGCGTTGGCTAGTATTTCTACCTATTTGAAATACAAGTCGGAACCTATACGTATACGAAGCATGTTATTGTTACATTTTATATATTGTGAATAAAGCAAATGATTTCTTCTCTAAGTACATCATCAAAATAAGTTTTTCGTTAACATGGCCAGATATTGTTTTCCTAACTGATTCAATTCCATGCTTAGAATTGAATTATAGGATTAATTTTTAACCGATATTTGATATGAGCACATGTTGCATACCATCAAATACGCATTACATATGAAAGCGCAGGTAGTTAAGAATAATTTAATTGCAAGAAAGATAATAAAATGTAAAACAATTTACAGGGACATTTTGTTTACCTGCAAAATTAATAACTTGTAAAAAGAAAGTGTAAAATCATTCAAATACTGTCATATAGATTATGTATATATTGCATCATCTTGGTTTTAGTTTTTGACTACCTTCATCTTTTTGGTCGTAAAAAATGTTATATGAAAATTTATTTTTGGCCAATCTAAAATGGTGTTGCAGTCTGTACATACCTTCATATATATTATTAGGTAGGTGTTTAACATCACTAACAGTCAGTGGTACTTGATTTCAAGTCATTCGATATTTTACCTCGTATTTTACATATGGAAAGACGCCGCTCTGTAGCGTTCTATTTCTTGCTGTTCCTCTAACCTATGAGTTTCAGGTATTTGTTTTTTGTTCCTCCAAATTTTAGAATATTTCCGTTCTAAAAATAACATTATTAGTCTTAATTCATTACACATCAAATAAAAGGCTTATCTTTATGTTCGTCGTTCTTAAAATATTAGACCTTGAAACTTTGTACACTTTTTTTCGAGATATCAATAAACAATAAAATGTACAGAAATCTTGAATTTACTTTTGTAAACTGCAGTTTTATTAATGTGTTGAAATTTTTTTCCAAGCAAACAATACAAATTTTTGATCTTTAGTAAAGACTATAATCAAAAAAATATAATAAGGATTAATTATGAATTTGTAGATAATTTTTCATGGAGAACAATTAATTCAGATGTTCGTAGTTTTATCATAACTTGATACTTATTTTTTAGCAAAGTTATACATTTGACAAGTGAGATATCGACAGTACCTAATACCTCAAATGACAAATATTTTCACGATTTTCACGATAATTACATCTACGTTTGACAACCCAAACATGACGAAACACTGAAAATTAGCATTTCTCATGAATTTCAAATTAATTACTTTCTAAATCTAGACCCCTGATTTTTATAATTTTTTTTCTCAGAAATTTTCGATTGCCATTTCTATTACAATAACAATAAGATTCAGCAACTGTGCGATCTTTATTTTCGCACTTAGTGCCGACTTGTCAAAAAAAGTGATCTACACGTGATACATATTTTGGACTCATGAACACTTCTCAATTAAAAAAAATCGCGAAAACAGAATGAAATTGAGGTGGCTTGGACGGTTGTTACCGTACCTATAGGGCAGGGTGCTATAAGGGCCCATAAAAAATCAACGCTTTTCGACTGTGAATTTTTCAATAAATATAGTTTTTTTATAGGAATATTGAGCGCCACGGAAATCGTACTCGTGAGAAAGTACTTGGGAAAGGGACAAGGAAAGGGATGGGGACCTCCCATTACAGGAGGGGGGGTAGGGGGAAATTAGGCAATTATGCTGCGAGGAGGTCGCCTAAACCCTCCTCGAGGAGCATTGCGTGGTGAAAAAGCACATGAAAAATCACACAGGTACTTGCCCGAAAAGTCGCACTGGCCGGGAATCGAGCCACGGTCTCTCGCGTGTCAATTCATGACCTATAACTGAATGAGCCACCGCGCGCTCAATAAATATAGTTATTTCGATACAACCAAAGTACAAGATCAAGAAATCGCCAGAAAAGTACCGTGAAATTATAATTGTGAAAAATTGGAGATGTTGCGAGACAAGCGAGATCAATATTTCATATTTTTCTTCTGATTTTCTCTTAAATTAAGTCGTTGACCTTACATTTTTAAGAATTTACTAGATTCTTTGTTAAAAAATACACAAGAAATATATTAAATTTTTGAAGTTAATCAAAGATTTCCGAAGACATAGTCGATTTTGTGACCACTGTCCATAAGAGTAGGTGTTAAATTGGTGAATTTTCAGTAGCGATTTGCGAAAAAATGAAGTCGTTGACCCCAGTATTTTCTTATCACAAATGAATTCGGCATGCTTTCTTTACAATTCTAGAATCTTAGAAGTTTTGATCAAGCCGATAAAAATCGCCCAAGCCACCTTCATTAAAAAAAAAAAAAAAACCATACTTTTTGTGTCCTCTTCAGCTTGAGGGAAGACTGTTTGTTCATTTATGACGTCACAAAGGTTATGACTAATAGGAAGCGTTTTGGTGGTCCACGTGATACAATTCAATTTTTGTATGTTCAATAATTATATTATTGTAATGAAAATGGCATCAAAAAGTTCTGGGGAAAAAAACTTATAACAAACATCAAGGATCTAGATTCAGAAAATAATTAATTTGAAATTCATAGCATTGTGCCAGCAAAAGTCCTGAAATTACGCAATTTTCTCTCACAATGGGCTCTTCGGTCGCTTTCTGATGTGACCCCCACCAACTACTATCACAAAGCGGATAAGCGAGTTAAAAGCATTTTTCACTGTTGCCACAGATTTAATTTTTACCTGAGGTGTTAAGAAAACTTATCAAATAAAAATGTTTACCACAACAGCAACAGTAATAATAATAATTATTATTACTATTATTATAATAGTATTATTGATAATAACGATAGTAAAAGCAATAAACATAAGTTTTTATCTCTGAAAATTTTATAATTAAATACGCGAGTACACTAAACCAAACATATGTCTGAAATTTTCAGAAATTCGCATGGAAGCTTCCGGTGAAGCCGAAACTCATTGGACGAAAAAAAAAAGAGATAAAGACAGCAGTGGACGAAGTCAGACTCGGATTGAACATTACAGAGGCAACCAGCATTATTTTAGCGTTACTAATCGACTGCTTGGCAATGGTATAGGCAAGTTGACTTGAATTTCGTTACATACTAATTCTAAATTTTATATTAAGTTTTGTTTTCCACGGAGAAAATATGTAAGTATTTTCAATCCTGAACGATATGTCAGAAGGGTGTTTCAAATGATGGTACAACTTCAAACGTACTGTATTTACAAAATATGCATTAGAAAATCCTCATTCTTAATTTGGGACAAAAAAATAAAATTCTCTAAACATAAGGACACACTTTTATGTAAATAACAAGAGGCCCATCGATAAACCCAGATGTTTCTATGTTTTATGTATAGAATTAAATTGTCCAGTTAAAACTGTCTCAGAGTGGAATCATTTATGTAAAATTTTAGTTTTCGCGACACAAAATTGGCTCACAAAAAAGAGATTTAATTTTTTACTGGTTGAAAAGTCGTTCGAATACTATGGTTTATTAAAAATACAAAAGTTTAAAAAAAAACAAAAACAAAAAAATTGAAAACTTCGACTTGTATTATTCTTTGATTGTTAAGTGTTTCGTTCATTCAAAAAACAGAAAATATTTTTCCTTGAATCGATTTCAGACTTCGATATTATGATTGCAACATAAACATACTAAAAGTATGTCCGAGGAATGTATATACAAGTACGCCACTTTGGCCGAGTCAGCTGAAAAATGCGAATCTCTCAATAAAACCATGACCCACATGGCCGCGTAAACTTTAACAAAGAAATGTAGGCTCTTGATTGAAAAAATGGCTAAAATTGAATACAATTAAAAAATGGAAGAGGTCGTTATTTCTTTGAAAAGCTAGTTCTTGCAGTACTTAGAGTAGTAATGGACAACCTCAATTAAATCGTAAGATACTACATCCAATGAATTTATAGACAAAGATTTTAGTACTTTTTCCTTGTAGATTGACGATGAAAAGTTTTTAATAAACTCAATGAAAAATACTATGCACGTCCTTTACACCGATTCTGTGAAAAAATATGCAAAACGGAAAATTGACAGTCATATTCTACATCAAATATCAACAAGTGCTGCAAGTCGAAATGGTCGAGATTACATATCCAATGTTCAATATGTAGTGTCCAACTTGCAGCCATTTGATCCAAGATATGAATGACTATACGAATATCGCGAATTGAAAAACATTGATTCATATCGACTATTTTTTGCGGCTGCCACATTAGTCAACTTTGTTACACGATCATTCATATGAAATTTCGATCTATGGTCGACAGTGAACTTTTAATGCTTATAACGATTTAGAACGACTACTTTATTTGTTCACACCGCAAGAACCTCCTTTATGATTTATGCAACCCTATGATTTATGTAACAATTTATGATTATATCAATTGCATATAATACAAAATGATGATTCTTTCACACAACAGGAGACGAGCATTCGACGCTACCCTCTGGTGAACATTCGTATCACTTTAGCTTCCAACTACCCTCAAACATTCCATGCAGTATCGAACATGAACTAGGATTTGTCCGGTACACCGTGAGAGTCCTTCTAACTCGGCCTTGGAAATTCGATCACAAAGTCATATCGGCCTTCTCTGTCATCTCATCTTACGACTTGAACGCTGTTTACGATTTATCGGTAAGACACGTGCACACATGGTAATGTAATTATACTCATTATACGAATGTATTATTTTTCCTTGTAAAAGTACACAATGAATAATGATATTAGACGGGCATCAGCGAAGAGTTCCGGCGCAACTTTCGCTACTGGTGTGTACTCAGCGATGGCGGAGTAAATATTCGTTTGGGGAGCCGAGTCAAGGGCTTCGTTCCTGGGGAGACGATTGAGCTGGTCGTCAAGTACGATAACAACTCCACTCGAGTTGACCTTACCAAAATGAAGCTCAATCTGGAAAAGGTGCTTGGGCCCTACTTTTTAGCATCATATTGCCTGTACTCTCTTGTTTTTCCAGTAACGTTTTTGCAACTTTTTTTTTTGACAAAGAGTTTTGAGTCCGAACTATTTTGTTATCTGCACAACTTTCCCATCACTCGTACTTTAATTGTACACACACGGTATTTTGATTCGTTCCCCGCAAAATTCAAAAATTGCCATGTTTACCACCCAGGTAACAGTGATTCTCAAATTAAATTTGAATTTCGCAGGGAACGAATCAATAAGATTACACTACAGACGGTCAAGGGGTGGTAGTGTGGCAGATGCGGGAGCTTCTCTTGATTATCTCTGCCATATTCAGGACCAACACGCACACGATCCTAATCAGCCAATCACTGGCTCGAAATCTCACGTCTGTGAGCTTAATAAGTTGAATGACATACATAGACATACAGTTTCTGTGTTGAAGTCCTGAAAATGGTGGCCGATCTTGGCCCTCTGTAGTGTATACATCTTGCAGAGCTCAACTAGCTCCAAAAACATTTTTTTCCTCCTACAAACGTCTGATGCACACGCGAATCATAACTAGACTTAATATCACATTTTATTATTATTTTACCGTAAATTTGCTCAATTTTTTGAAGAGCATGACATTCTACACGTCGTCGCCGAAAGACAAAAAGCTCAGCAGCGAGATCGTAAAGAAGACCAAAGTAGTGGGGCCCTTTCCGAAAATCGGCGAGACCATATTGAAACTGGAGGTGCCGCCGGTGCCACCCTCACGCCTGGAAAACTGCTCTCTCATAGACCTTTGCTACAAGCTCAACCTAACTTTGAGCGTATCCGGATTGTGAGTATCTATCTCCAATAAATACACTGAAATCAAACGCTCATGTGACGATAAAAATAAAATGGTTGATGCCCACAGACGCTTCCCGATTAAAAAGTCTTACCCCGTTGAGATCGGCACCGTGCCGATTTACGGCCGTGCGGCTGCGGCCGGCACGATCCCGGCACCACCGTGCGCTGCCCCCGTGGCACCACTCATCGAACAGATGAGCCCAGCTGTTGGGCAACACACGTCCCAATCCGTAAACCCGATTGGCTTCGTCATCGTGGGCGCACCGCCTTCTGTCACCAGTGGAGTCCCACAACTTGTACCGATGGACGCTATGCGTGAGTTTGTTCTTCAATAATGCAGCAAGATCATTAAAGTGAAATACATAAGATAGGCACAGCGTGTGTCCGCTCAACTGATACTTTTTTTCAACAATGAATACGAATCTAAAATTTAAATCGCTCCGACACATCGCAGTTTTCGTTCTATTTTATGGCAACGTTTTTCTTATTAATCAAAATGAAAATGTAACGTGATCAAGAAATGTGAGCTGTTGATTCGTGATCAGCAACGAAAAAAAAATGCATTAAGCGACATGTGTTATTCTTGTGCTTGACCAATTTGAACTGACTTACTACAAACATGATTGTTTCAATAATACATATTAGATATTTTTTCATCTCATAGCTCCTCCAGCCTATGAGGAGTGCATTTCTGGAAGTAAAACGATTACACCAATCGAACAGGGCATGTATGGAGCCGATGTCCAGTTTGCTCCTAGATATCCTGTCTACAGATTTCCCACGCCAAGGCCTTGTAAGTGCGGATTTTCTTAATGTTAAAAATGTCAAATTTTATCTCTAATGTCCGTCAACTACTCTATTAGTTTTATAACTCCTGATTAAATTTCTTCGCAGATTCCACATAGATACTTTATAGTACTTGGTTTGACTGAACAGGATTGTGATAATAGACTTACTAAGACAATACTCGCTTCAAAGACTATGAAAGAAACTATGTAATTTCTACGAAACGTCTGACGCTCAAGTAGTGCTTCATTGTGAATACGAATTATATATTCTTAAAAATATATTTATTACGTATACGTTAATATATAAACTAAACTGTAAGGCACAAATCTGATTGTTTAAATGAGATTTAATTATTATTGTGCATGCGCTAGCCAATGTACACGTTATTTTAGTGTATGTTTGAACAAAAAGCTATACAACTTCGTTAAAACGATTAAAACGTGATGCGCTTATTCATGTTAATGTAAGTATCATCTTGTTTTAAATGATCATTAAGCTTGTTTACTTATACATAAGTCATTTCACAAAAAATGAGGTAATTTAAGTTATAAAATAAAATTGTCAAAATTCCGTGCTTAATATTTTTTTTACAATTTTTTCCATTTGACACAAGGCCCAAACAAGCTAACAACCTTTGGTTTTGCATCTTACGGCCCCGCAAAAAATTAATTTAAATGTATTTAGGGAATTCTAATGCGCACATTTGAAAGAAAGTTCTTTTTTGAAATAGTTTAATTCACCATTTTGAAATATAAGCTTCATGGAATATCACGGTTTTTGTGAAATGACAAAAATAATAATAAGAAAGTATTTGTTCTAAATAATTGTATTACTGAAAAGTCATGCAAATTTGCCAAGTAGTTACACTACTTTACCAATCGTACGTTGCACTTTTTATACTACTTAAGTTTTTTGAAATTAAATTTTTCAAATTTTGTCATGACACTTGTTTTATATATCATGTATTTAAATGCAAAAATACATTGTATCATATTAAATTGGTCTCAATTTTTTGCTCCCAATTCATCTAAATTAAATGTATTTTTCAAGGCTATTTTCTGTGGAGCAAAGAGCTACGCAGTAGCAAATATATTATTGTATAGAGTTGGAAATTTGAAAAAAAGAAAGCAGATTTCATGTATTTACACAATTTATTTTATATTTCAACATCTTAATATTGTTATAATCATCATCATAATCATTATCATCATGATCTTCGTCATATTACCATCATCTGTCATCATCGAGTCATACTAGCAGTCAGTAGCAAAAGTAAATCTTAATTTACTATAAATAGTAAAAGCATAATATTGTTATAACTTTATATAATTCAAGATGACGTGAAAGAACACTCATTTCTATTAGCTGCAGAGATAATTTTGATAAAATTGAAATGGTGATAAACAAATTATGGAAATATAAGTCGAATTCCACGAAATAACTACAAAAGTTAGTCATGATAGTTTTTTGGCGATCAAGACAATTTCTACAATATATTTATTCACCAAAAAATGTTCGGTATATTTTAGTCTATTAAAACAACGCTTCCATCTTTTTTTATCTTTTATCTTATAATCTTATTGATGGTTCAAACAATTTTTTTAATCACCAACTAATTACGTTATTTCGAAGTTACTCAAGTTTTACCGTCTTACAGAGTATAGACACCGTTACGCTCGCTTAATAAGTCAATACAAACGGTTTTGTATAAAACGATAAGGTCTTAACAACTATTTGTCTGTCTCAATTTAAAGAAATTCGATTAAAAAATGTTACAAAGTGTACATATCTTGCATCAAAAACATTTCAAGATAAAAAATTTAAATTATGATATAGAACTTTACAAAAAAATATCATCGAAAAACAATAATTACAAGTCTAAATTACGGTAAATTTATTGTAAGACTCGACAGTGCGTCTTTAACCGATATTCACTTCTTCAAACTTTTATTTGTTTTTATTTATTTTTTTTTTTCTTTATTTTTTTTTTTTCATCAAACACGTTTCTTATCTATTTGCATTTTTCTTATTTTGTTTCTACAATGGTCCTGTATTTTATGAAGAGGAAAAGGAACTGTGCGCTCCAGCTTTACAAAATTTGCTCACTTTATGATACAATAATCCATTTTCCTCGATTAAGGACTAACAACCTTTTAATATATTATTATCATAAATAAATTTGGTCTATCGGTAATAATACGAATACGCCAATATAATTACCATACTGGCAGTATTTGGTTATGTAAAGACATGATTGCTATAAATCATAACGCTTAGAGATTTCATTGCATTCTATTATTTTTTTGATAAATTTTGTACAATGGAGGAAGGATCACAGAGAAAAAAGCAATATTGCATTAAGGGCGTTATGACTTATAATAAAAACGTCTTTAATTTTCATAAACAATAAACCAGAAATCTAATAAGTTTGTAGTAATAGGTGAAAATTTAGTTGTAAAACACAGGAATCAAGGGTGAATTTCACATAGAAAAGGTATCCAATAAAGAAAAAGCAATAAATGCTTAAATATTTGAATATGTCACGTTGTGCAACTTCAAATGAGACTTTCGATGTTTTTTTACAATAAACTTGATTCACTATGTGAACTTTACTTCTACTATTATAAATAGTTTAAGTCTGTATAGAGCTTTCCCAAAAATACAATTAATGGAATCGGTTAAGCTAAGAAAGACAATCATTAACAAACAGCACAATGATACAGTGAAATTGAATAATAAAATTTTTTCCAACTTGCAACTTATTAAATGTATTCATATCTAATAATGATATTGGTTGTATTAATCCTAATCAAGAATCAGAGGTCAGTAATTCTAGTGCAAGTATTTTCAAAATTTCTATGGTATCTTTATGTGTTGTTTTTATAACGCAATCACTTTACAACACTCTTGCATAATTCACGTACCCTCCAAAATATCTGAAAATGAATAAAATATTTTTGCTTAATACGTCAAATTTTATACTATAATGTCCGTATTTCAAAGGAAGTAATGGAAAAATAAATTTTTCAAGTTAGTCGTGGCTTGACTAAGTTATTTCATTATTTTCAATATCAATGACATTACATGGTAAAAAGTTGGCTCAGAAAGTTTCAAAACATGACAAAACTGTACTCATCTGTTCTAGAAAATTTAGAAACAGTCACATTTCTCATAATTTATTATAGTGATGCAAAAACTTTATAAGCTTACATATGTATGATATCACACACATATGTGTCAAAAAATCAATAAAAATATTTTCTTAGCAAAAATCACCTTACATACGAATACCATACTGGAGGAATTAAATGTTATCAGAATATAAATATATATGAACTCACCAAAATTAATCACTAACAGTTAACCTTCTCTTTTGATGGCATTAGGAGCTTCTGCCAAGCCCTTGACTTTTAGTCGATCTGCTGTTTTTAAAAATGCTGGTAATTGGTCCTGTGATACGTTCACTTCACCAGCATACATAAACTCTAAAATAGCTTGGAGATGAGGGTATGCAACATCTTTCAATATAATAATTGGGTGTTTGGACGGATTTTCCTGTAACAGAGAATTTAAAATAATAATCAGTTGAGTGAAAGTGTTTGTTTATTTTTTTTAATTATCATCATTTATGTTTCAATAGTCAAATAAATCCAAGAGTTTTATGAGACAAATACAAAAAATACTTGTACATAGATCAAAATGTGCTTTATCGTAGCAAAAATGATATAGGTAGAATGTTTAACAAGAAATACTCTATTTTAAATAAAACAAACAAATAATGATCAATGCATCATAAAAAGTTACTACATAGGTAGAGTACATAAACTAAAAGATGTAAAGGTGATTGAAAGTCATGTATGGTAACATATAAACGAAGGGTTGAATGACAAATAATTAAAAAAAAAAATAAATAAGCAGTGTATGTATGATTCTATTGATAAGTTTAACGCAATAAAGTAGCTGAATTCCAATAACAAAACTTACTTCCAGCAGTGATTTGAAGTATGGACTGCACGCCGAAAGGACCATTTTGTGTGCCTTGCAGGTCTGTCCATCACATGCTAAAGTGACATCCGTAAAACTCTTTTCATCTCGAAGATGTTTGAAGGACGATACCATATTTGACTGGAAATCATTCCATTTGAGAAAGAACTGCTGTTGTTCTCCAGCCATTCTGCTTTGAATTGTGTATCCCCTGACTCAGTATCCCTGTGACAACTACTACCTGCAAATATTGAAAATCAATTCCCTCTGCATAATGAAGAAGCTCATTAGGTATAGGTACTATTTTGCAAACACATCTAAAATGTATACTATGCAGGTGAATGTACTCTCGCTGCCACCTACGACCCTCCTCCCCTCCTGTGGGCGATTGACGAGGGGACGATCGAGCAATCTGTTTTCAAGCCATGGCCCGCGCGCTCCGAAACAGCGCCATCACAATCTCTATACAGCGCCCCGTGACTCCCGTGAGAGTCTCCCACGGATTCGTTTGAATGTCATGATTACCACCCATTTAGCACACGAAAATAAAGGCAGAGCTTGCGACAATCGATACCATTAATTTCCTCTCCTCCTGCTCCAGAGCTTTACCAATAACAGAGCGCCTACCTCATAAATAGACCCTATAACTGTATAGCTTCGACTCTTCTGCTTCGTTCAGAGTTCGTGTCGATTCATCACAAACAAGCAAACGAACCGAGGGAGAGAGAGAGACAGAGAGAGAGAGAGAGAGAGAGAGAGTAAAGCCAAAAAACCGCACGTAACCTCCTGATACGTAACGGTACAACGGGGCAAAAAAAAGTATAACTACACGTCCCTCTACCGAGGGACCAGCACCTATTTTAGGTTAGTTCCGGAGGTTCATGTTCTTCCGCTTTCCCGCGTCGTTGTCATCCACTTAAGCCTTAGGCCGTCAACAAAGGCTGCAACTACCTCTTGGAACAGAGCTGGGAAACCGATTTTCGGTTCGGCGATCTGTGTGACCGTTACTAGTAAGAAGCACAATTGCGACTTAAAAGTAGGTACGTCGAACATGAGCTTGTTGACGTGCTACTGTTACCTCGTTACAGCACCAACACGCGGTAATGATCCCCCACCCCTGCGAGTACTAAAAAAACAAGAGACACAACAACAACCAGCCCACAACTCACCAGCAACTCACCTTCGTCCGCGTCGTCTTGGCGCGTCCTCGTCCTCGTCGTTGTCGTCGTCGTCGTCGTTGTCGTAACTTTACGTCAACAGCAGATGCTAAGGCAATATATTTTTCTAAACACAAGCACTGCAACACAACAACGGAACACAGTAGATGACTTGACAGAGCAAAATCACTAAATTCAACAGTTTAAGGCCTTCTTCAGGTCCAACAACTTCAACGTGATCCAAATGTCTAAGTCTAGTCATGCAGGGTCACAGTTGTTCTCGTTTCCTGTATTAGAGTACAATATAGGTATACTTGACTCTGGGAAAATATTGGCACAAAAATTATTCGAGCAGCAGCTAGTAAATAATTCATACTCTAGTGTAGTGGGTAGTAGGTATTTACCTTACCTATTGTAGGCTACTACTCCTCGTGTTCGTGTATCGTTTATCGTATGCGCCGATTAAGGTCAAGCGTCAAGCAAATAGATGTCCTCAACGGGATACTTACAATGATGATATAATTGATAAATGATTATATTGCCTACAACTGCGCTATGGCTGTATAACTTCAAAGTTTTGCCGATAAAAAATTTTTAAATTGAATCGATAAATGATTGTTTGTATCAATTGAAACTAGTTGATTTAAATTCCTTCCATTTTTTATATTCATTGAAACATTTAAATGAATGATGTTAATAAGGGATGTTTTTTTCAGTTCTTTAAGTTACGAATAGTTGAAAATTTTTTTTTCAAATGTCTAAGTAAACTTTTGAACCAATTTACTCATTTAGTAATAAAGTTGTAACAGTTTTTTAACTTACATATTTTTCAAATAAATTCTTAAGGCATCGGCAACATTGCGAAAAATTTATTTACCAGATGCTTTTAATTAAAAACGTAATCTGTTTAAAAAGCACTTGCCTACTACTTTTATCTAATATTTTTATCTATAGCATTTAATAATTTTTTGTAGCAAAAAACGCAGCAGGTGATTTTTTTTAGGTACGACCAGTATAATCATGTTTTCATCATCTTTTTTTGAAATCGAACAAATTTCAAACCAAGTATGATGGTGATCTGAGTTAACCACATAATATATGTATGTATATGTACTCGTATGTAACTATGTATGTTATCAATTTTTTGACTACCTGAAGTAATTCTTATTCAAATAGGCTCGAACTTTGTAATTGACTTCAAGTTCAACGTCAAAACTTATGCGTTGCATTCGGTCAGTTTTCAATCGGAAAAAAGATTTTGGCAGCATTTTTACTACAGTACTCTAAAATTAAAAAACAAGTTTTTCAGCTCTAAATTTCAGCACATACATTTTACACGTTTGCGTTCAATGACAAAGTTGTAGATCACAAAAAAACACAACATTTTCGTAGGACACTCTTTATACTGGAGTCTTAATGCCATAAATGGTAATAATGGTTTCATGATAGCTAAAAACTCGTTTTTCCTAACTTGAGCGTTTTTAGAGGCTGGTGTGCTCTCGGTAGGAAAAATAGGGTCCGCACCTGGTGCTCATGGTAACCAGGGTAAGCACAAGGTGTCCTTAGGGCTGTGCTCCGCAGGTCCCTCGGGGCTGGTGCTTGTCCTGGCGACATGTGCCACCAGGTACGAAAACTACCATTACTACATCCTACTTTTCTACGCTATATTTGTAGTTAACATTTTATATACAATTAAAAGTTGTAGATCTCATTAAAATATAGTTTTGTTAAAAAAAATCGTTTTATAGCAGATTAATTTTTTACGTGTCATTTTCTGACCCAAGTTTTAGTATAAAACTTATCAATCTTATGAGACTTATTTGTGTTCGCCATTCATATCTTCAGTATCATCCTAACATAAGATTCAACAAAAAGCGTTTTGAAATGGCAGACAAATTGATTTGCAACATGTAATATTTTTGGTGAAAAAATAAAATATAACCTCCAACTAAAATCCTACAGTTAAATTGTACTTTCTGCTTTGGCAAACCGTGGATTGGTCATGCCTTAAATGCATAAATTTGACCGCTTGTTTAATGTTTATCTTGTGACTGCCTTCAAGTGGGCATCGTACTTACATAATAATTTTTATTGTAAAAAACCTTACATTTAAAGTGCAGTGTAGAGAGGAGATACTATAAAATGATTAAAAAACATTATGAAGAAATTTTTTGTTACACAATTTTAGGACACCATAAATTTTACCAGATGAAATAAAAAATATTGTAAACGAATCATTCCTAATTAATTATGTGAATCATATATTCTCTAAACAGTAAAGAAGTTTGTCGAGGAGATTCAACTAAGAGAGATGCGGAGGAAGAAGAAAGAGGTCGAACAAGATGAGAATAATGATGATGACAATTATAATGGCAACAGTGATGATGATGAAAACGATTGTCAATTAACAGCTCCCTTATGACACAAATGAGGAACACGTCAATTATAACGAGCTTATATGAAAAAAGTGATTTAGAAATCTGATATTTTTTTAGGGATATTAAGATAAAGTGTAAAAAATATGTGGCTGCGTCTGTTAATTAAAGGACACCCAGTCTACAACCATTAGGTGAAATCTTACCCGAGATCTGAGGGAACTATTTCATACCAAAAACACACCTGAGATTTCTTCAAAAGTATTCTTGTTATAGTGAAATTTAATATTTTACCGCGATTAATACATGCAGAAAGTCTTTATTTGTATACGTACGGAGAAAATAACATTGATTGATTATTGCATTCAAGTAGATGTATTTGAGATGGAAGCCGACCCCTAGCGCCCCTAGCGTATTTTATCTGAACTCGAGTTGGGTCCAAAATTGAAAGGGAATCGTCTGGTTTTAATGTACGTCAGTACTACTGTGATTATTTGTAAAGTTGTAGTTAATAATGGTTTGTAAGATAAATACCTAAGCATTGCGGAAAAATTCGTGCAGGACGAAGAAAGAGCAGATTGAAATAGCTACGTGCACTGAGGAAGCAAACTTGGGAAAAGGTAAAATCAGATGTAAAATCTATGTATGAAGTGGTGCCCTTACACAGAATGCCAATTTGCCACACTCTCGCCTTCAATATATTTTCGAGAACCTGGCCCCACGTATTCAACCACATCACTTAAATTAACTAAATAAAGCATTATTAACGGCAACCCTACAAATAATCACAGTCGTACAGACGTACATGAAAACCAGACGATTCCGTTAAAATTTAAATCATTGGCAGTTGGATCCAACTCGAGTTCAGATAAAATACGCTAGAGGCGCTAGGAGTCGGTTTACACCTCGAATTATTCATTATAGGCAATAATTTATTGCTCTGGCGTATTGCACCCCAGATTCCCGCTCTTTCTTTTCTCTCCATTTTTACTGTCTTTTTTTCTTTTATACACACACCATAACTTTTAACGCAACGTTGGCTTTCGATTCTCGATATTTTTTTGGATGATTTTTCTTCTCCCGCTCGATCATTATAGGCTTTACGCCGTTGCATTATTGCTATACGCGCTTTACTCAAACATCTTTTTGTTGTGTGTATACGCACTTACGAAGCGACTAGCAAGTAATACTCCTTGAAAGCGCTCGTTGGTAAATTAAATCAAGGAATTTCCATAATTTTGTTTATAAGTTTCAATGATTGATTTCGTAATGTGGACTCCATAGTTAACGTTATGAATCGTAATTAATAGCGAATTTCTTTCTGAGCTACTATAATATTTAGAGCCAAAGTTGTCATTTTATTCCATTTTCTGAATAAACAACTTGCTCATTACAACGAGTTAGAGTATGACGTTATGTACAATATTTTTGGAAAAAATAGTATTTTGCACAACAAGGGGCAGAAAATTGAATTTTCTGCACCGCCAGACATATCATGTTTCGCAGTGCCGGGCTTTCAACATTCCTTTACACTTTGCTTCAGCACCGTCTATGGAGACAACGAAGGCTCGTGAAGTTTCGTATGTCTTTCTTATGTATATAGTCACTGAGTAGTTCTCTTGTTTGGCAGTTTGGCAGTCATCAAAACATAAACATCGTCTTTTTATGCACATACACATTTACTCACTTGTCGATAAGACATTTAGTTTTTACTAGTTGCATAAGTTTCATTTTATTAGTTGTCACCTTTTTTCTTACCAAGTATCTGGTTCGTGTTTACATAAGTATTGCCTCTTTTTTGTCTCAGTCAAGCGTGTGCCCGAATAAATACGTTATTTGTAAGCGACCAAAGGCACTGTACTATGCAGGCGTAACAGTTATGGGATGATTGATTTACCACACCGTATACGATAATCAATAAACCCGAAAGGATTAGTCATAACTATCTTTTATGTAAATGAACGGCTGAAGTTTAAGGCAAAGTAAAATAGTATACGGAAGAGATGTGCCGATATCAGGACAAGATGTGAGGGCCTCGTTTACTGACACGCCATCTGCACGTTTAATATTGCACTCTAACAATAAATCGTACACATGTAATTTAAGAGAAATTGTAATTGTAAGCTCAGCGTCAGCATAGCGCGATTGTTAATTAAAAATGTTCAAACGGCGCGCGAATAAGTACACTGGTTAGGCGACGAGATGGTAGAGGGTGGAGTGTATGGGGCGACAGCACGGCAGCGAAGCAATAAGTCAAGCAAGTTGAGTTTTAGTACTTGTAAGACCACGAGAGCGATAGGTGATAGGTAGGTATAAGTGCTAGCACGAGCACCTCTATGTTATAAACTTACGCCAATAAAGGGGTTTTTAGTAAATAAATATTTGTTACTTCCCCTTAATACTCAATTCCTTTAAACATGGAGCTATGGCCTGCGTCCGATAAGTCCAAGAGTGAAGAGAAAAATTTTCGAAATTTGGACGAGGGAGCGATATCTATTATAAATTAGATTTTTCACGGGATATTACTAACAACTTTCATTATTATGGTAAAGATTCTAAAAAATAAAAATAAACGCTTGGATTATTTGAAACGTAAAAATAAAAATTATTTGTATGTTTTATTGCTAATGGAATAAAAAATGTATGATTAAAAGTAAAAGTACAGTTTTTTCATATACTGTAGTGTCTGCAGAAGGCGTGCTTGTTGGTCTACCAATACCAATTCACAAATCTTCAGTTTTCGGCATTGGTATCGATGCAGAAAGTACGTTCTTTTGACCAAGGTACGATGAAAAAATTTATTTTTCCGACCTTGGGCGTTTTACATCAAAGTCGGGTGTGCCCTCGGTAGGAAAAATAGGATT